GAGCTAGAAGAGGCGCAAAGGCAAACCGGCTTCAGCCTGAGGAGGGACAGCTCCATGGCGGCGTTTATAGAAGGATCCCAAGGCAGGGAGGACTCAGTCCCCCCCTCCCCCCCGAGTGTCTGCCCCGGCTAATGCACGGGAGGATGAGTGAGTCATGTATTTACAGTCCCCAAACCAGTCTAAGCCCATAGTTTTACAGACGAAGAAACCAGGACTAGAAGTGCAGGTTACACGCAAGTCGGGAGCAGGCCCATCGATGGAACCCAGACCCTCCTGACCCCTGGCACTCGGTTCTCCTGCCACTTCACCAGGCGTCAAGTGCTTTGCAGGAAAGTCACAGTCATCCTCCTCATCTGTGAGGGAGGGCAGCCCGGATGGAGACCTGGGGGTCATCCAGCGCCAGGCCCCTAAGGTTCTATTGGCTCGTGTCTTCTCCTAGTAAGTATTTGAGGACAGTCAAGATAGTGCAGCTGATGTGGAATCCACGTGACAAACAGGATTGTGGTCCAGGTTGCATGGATTTTAGCAGCTGGCCCTCAGACCAATCCTCACGCAAATCCTTCAGTGTGGACACTGCAGACCAGGCTTTCTCACAGCCCCCTAGCCCAGCGGCTGAGCGAGCACTGGGCCGAGAGCCGTCACGTAGTCAGGACGCCACGTTCCAGTTATGAGATCTCAGGCACATCACTTGATCTCTGGGCCTCAGTCTCCCAATGATTAATCCATGCATTGGCACATTTAGTAAGCGCCTCCGATGCACTTGGGCACATGCGTTGGGGATAGGTTGGAGCTCTGGAGAGGAGGTAGGCTGGACACTTAGATGTGGAAGACACTTTATAAAAATTAGTTGAGCTGAAACCGGTTTGGCTCAGTAGATAGAGCCTCGGCCTGCTGACTGAAAAGTCCCAGGTTCGATTCCGGTCAAGGGCATCTTTTTTTATTGTGGGCACATATTCAGTGGTGTGCAGGAGGCAGTTGACCAGTGTTTCTAACTCTCTATCCTTCTCCCTTCCTCTCGGTAAAAAAATCAATAAAACATATTTTAAAAAAATTAATTGAGTCTCAAGGGTGAATAAGATCACCCAGGGACAGGATGTGAACGAAAAGAGGCAAGTACCTGGCTCTGGGGAATCCTAACATCTTGGGGGTGGAGGTGGGCGGTGGGGGGTGGGGGGGAGGTCTGAAATTGCATCGAGTTACCTCTAATGCCTGTGACAGTAACGCCCTGTGATTCCTCACCTTAGGGCACTGCTCCAGGCCCAGAGGCCTTTCAGCAGAAACCCTTTGCGCGAAGCACTCTGGGCCCCTTGCATGGCTCTGTGGATGACTAAGTGAAACAAGAAAAGATTCTGTCCCAGGTGCTGGCCACTTCATGCAGCTGGTGTGTTGAGGATAAGCTGCTACCATAGCTTTTCAGGGGACCATTTGGTGATGGCATCAAAAACAGCAATTCTTCTAGGGACTAATTTTAAGAAAAAAAAACAAAAAACAAAAAAAAAAAACAGAGATGCACACAAATGCTTATGTACAAAAATGTTTAAAAACAGCTTTTATGGCCTGGCTGATGCGGTTCAGTGGTAGAGTGTTGATCTATGAAGCAGGAGGTCCTGGTTCCATTCCTGGTCAAGGCACATGCCCGGGTTGTGGGCTTGATCCCTTGTGTGGGGGGTGCAGGAGGCAGCCAATCAATAATTCTCTCTCATCATTGGTGTGTCTCTCTCTCTTCCTCTATGAAATCAATAAAGATATATATACAGCACTTATGATACCAAATAAGAGTGGGGGCCACCGACATGCCCAAGTATGGTAAACTGGTTGAGTAAATTCTAATAGATCCGGTGACAGAATGCTCCGCAGTTGTTCAAAAGAAGGCAGTAAATGTGTATTTATTGGCATAGAAAGATGTTCACACTATAGTTAATGAAAGGGCAGTTGGCTGCAGTATGATTATCTCTGGTTACTGGTTGTTGTTTGTCTTCATCGTGGTTCAGAGCAAGGACTGTCCAGCAAGGGCACCTGGGCAAGGCCACCCACTAGTGTCACTTCCCCGTCTCAGGGTCCTCTTCCGGAGGAGGGAGGGTCATCACACCCACCAAAGGCAGGTGCCCAAACCGAGCTCATCTAATCCAGGTAAAGGGCTGAGAACAGGCCCTAGCACTCCCAAGACCTCAACTTGTGTGAGTCATTATCATTTTAAAACAAAATCTTTTTTGAGATGAAATCCGCGTACCATACAATGCACCCATTTAAGAATGAAAAATCCAGAGGTGTCCAGTGTAGTTGGAGTGGTGCAAACATGACCAGAGTCCATTGTAGAGCCTTTTCTTCCGCCCCAGAAACAAACCCTCTCCACGCCTGCCTCTCCCCCAGCCCCTGGCAACCAGAAATCTATGTTCTGTCTCTACGATGAGCTTATTCTTGGCATTTCCTAGAAATGGGGTCATGCCACAGGGGTCTTTCCTGACTTGCTCTTTTGCTTAGGATTATGTTTTCAAAGTCGTCCGGACCATTTTCATTGCAGATCGCCTTTTCTACCGATGTTACTAGAAGCCCGATGCTTGAAATTCGTGCAAGGGGCGCGGCCCTCGCAGCTGTAGCAGCTTGCCTCCGCCACTGCTTCGGCCCTCGCAGCCTTAGCTTCGTCCAGAAGGTCATCCTCAGGAAGGTCTTTTGGCTACCTGGCCTAATTAGCATATTACGCTTTTGTTATTATAGATTATCCAAAATGTGTAATGTTTCTACAATGAAAACATGTTACTTTTGTAACAAAAACCACCATCACCAAACTAATGTCTCTTTAAGCTGGTTGGGTGGAAATGCCTGGGAGAGGGACACCTTTCCCTTGTTTCTCTAACATTTATCGATATTTCATCCCTTCGGACGTCAGAGTCCACAGCAGGCTGTTACCAGAGGCGGGGTTGTATATAAAGCGCAGAGTGTTCTACACGTGTGTGTGCGGGTCTGAGAGGGGGAGGATTCCCGCTTCTCCTTTCACACGTCCAGTGCCTGACTGCACAGCCGCACTGGCACTGACAGGCCCCCAGGGCCTCAGCAGCTCCCTCAGAGCCTGCGGCCAGTCCACACCCCACTGCCTGGGCCCCTCCACCCCAGAATCCACATTCCTCACCCTAGAGAGACCCCGCTTTGCTTCCACCTCACATGGGTTTCTTTCTCTCTTTAAAATACTTTTTCAAATTGAGATGTCACTTTGATATAGTATACTTTATTCATTTCAAATGTAAAAATAAGCCTGCCAACATATTAAAAATGATCTCAAGGCAGCTAATCTCCCTGCCATGGAACTAGGTTTTCGTTTGGCACATCACTCTTGTGTGGCTGTCCATACGCACGTGTGCTTTTAAACACAGGTGCAATTATAGTGAACTAGCAGTTTTCCAATTCCAGTACAATCGTTTAGGTAGATCCTGGGCCTGAGCCAAGGCTGCATTTGTGACTCTTATTATCCCAGACAACCTCTGTTTGAGCTTTTGCTTTTGCTTCTCGTGGGGCTATATCCAGAAGCAGAATTGCTGGTAATTTGATGTTTAATTTTCTGATGAGCCACCATACCATTTTCCACAGTGGCTGCACCATTTTACATTCTCACCAGCAAGCAATGCCAATGCACAAGGGTTTTAATTTCTCCACAATCTCACCAACACTTGTTATTTCTTTCTTTCTTTCTTTGTTAACCCTCACCCAAGGATACTTTTTCCATTGATTTTTTTTTTTTTTAAGAGAGAGGGAGGGAGGGAGGGAGAGAGATAGCTTGCCTCCTGCACACAACCCCATCCAGGGCCAGGATCAAACCTGCAACTCAGGCACATGTCCTTGACCGGGATGCAAACCTGAGACCCTTCGGTGTGCAGGCCGACACTCTAACCACTGAGCACACCAGGGCTATTTTCTGTTATTTTGTTGTTTAATCCCCAGATTTCTCTTGGGGGGGCCCTTACCTTACTTCCAGAGGGTAAATCGGATCTTCATACTGCACGTCACCTGCCTTTACCAGATGTCACTTTATGTCTGTGTCATATGAAGACAGAACAATTTTAATGCCCTTTCTAGATTTACCTCCAGTTGATGAAACACCTTTAGCTAAAGGAACAATAACTGGAATTGAAATCAGGTGTTTCCTCTCTTCCAGTGTTCCACCCGGGAGTCACTCCAAACATATGCGGACCCTTTGGCAAGTCCGCTGACATGGTTCCTTCCTGGTAGGACTAGCCCCAGGGAAACAGAGTCGCTGCCTCTGGTCCCAGCCCACCTCTCTTGAACTTTGCACTTACCGGGATGAAAAATTAACAGGGCTAACATTTTCCTTCCAAGGACGACCTCTGCAAAAGCTGGGCCCCGGGAGACCAAGCACCGGCACAGAGGTCTTACCCCTCTGGAGCCGCCCACCCATTCACGGGCAAGTCAAGGGAGCATGCAGGCTCCTCCTGGCACCCGGAGGAATCCGCTCCTCAGCCCTCCTCACTGCTTTGTGAAACTGGGCTTATTCCCTCAAGGCTTCCAGCGGAGAAACTGAGGCCAGAGGAGAAAGAACTAGCCCAGAAATGCACTTGCTGGACTCACGTGGGTCCAGCACTTTTTTTCTGCACGCATAGCTGTCCCTTTCACACGGAGGCCAGCATTAGAAGAAAGTTCAGGAAAGCATGGCTAGTCACACTAACTGGCTGCTGACTAGCTACTTCCTCCTCTCAGGAAAAAGAGGGCTACAGAAGAGGCCCTTCCGATGTCATGACTTCAGAGGGTTAGGTACATGCCAGCCCTTCCGCTACATTTAACCCCCAGGTATCCCTTAGGCTCCTTCCCTCCACCGCGCAAATCACAGTCTGCAAAATGAGAGGCTTGCATTGGAGAACAATTAAAAAAAAATTTTTTTATTGATTTTTTTTTTACAGACAGGACTGGAGAAGGATAGAGAGTTAGAAACATTGATAGAAACATCAATCAGCTGTCTTCTGCACACCTTCTACTGGAGATGTGCCCCAAACCAAGGTACATGCCCTTGACCTGAATTGAACCTGGGACCTTTCAGTCTGCAGGCTGACGCTCTATCCACTGAGCCAAACCGACTAGGGCTGGAGAACAATTCTAATGCTCTTTCTAGATCCACCACGCTGCACAGTAAGAACCTTTTAGCCCTTTCTTATAGCTGAGGAACAGGTGCTTAGTAGGGTGAAGCCAGGATTGAAAGTCATGTCAGTCATTGATGGAGCTTGAGGTCCTTTCACTCTGACCACCTCTCAACAGCTGGACTTGCCTGATTCGATTCAGGTTAAAATGAATGTGTTCCTGGGAGAAGGTGACTGCAAGGGCCCCTTTCTCCCAGGCACACCCCTCCCACCCCTTTAACTTCTTTAGGCTGTGAGCTCCTGGAGGTTAGGAGCCTTCATTTTTCATGTCGGTCGTCCCAGAAAGGAGTGTGTGTCTTCCTGAACTGCGCTCCCTCATCCCAACTACTCTCCACTGCCTTCCTGGGCCCCAAGGCATGCATGGCTCTTTTGCTTCACAACATTTCACTGTTTGCAAACCTTCTCACATTAGTTTCCCACAACCATTTCACAGGTGAGCAAACATCTCTTGGAGTGTCACAATAGCACGCCTGTTTTGCAAAGAGATCTATCCGTGATGCCATCTTTACCTTCCACAGCTACGAGCTGGGTGCAGTGGCAAGCATGGGAACGAGGCCCCTCACAAAGCGCTGGGTTCTGATCCCAGCTCTGCTGCTTGGAATCCTGAGGGACCTCTACCTCCAGGGTCACTGTGACGATTACATCAGAGGGCAGCACTTGGGCAGCCTGGAGGGAGGAAAGCCATCCATCTGTTGATTGTTTTCCTTCCTTTGCTTTTGTGTTGAGGGCTGGGAAGAAGGGGATGAAACCTAAGGCTGCAGATTAGCCGGAGGACCAGCCAGGAATGGGAACCAGGTCCCTTAGCCCCGGTTGGGGTTCAGGGCTTCTCCTTTAAGGTCCCTGCAGGCCGTGACTTAGAAGGAGGGAGGGGGTAAGAGCCAGAGCTCCGCCACAGCGGCAGCTGCGGTCTGGCCTGCGGGAGGCCATTCACTCTGACAAGGCAGGGACCCCTGCCGTTTCTGGGCTGACTTTGTGGATTCAGCCAACCTCGCAGCGCTTTTTAACTCCCCGGCCTGAAGGTTTGCAGATAACTTCTTTCTCACCACGGGGGTTTCCCGCTGTTAAAAACAAACAAAGGCCCTAGACACCCGGCAACAGGCCTGGGAGGGGCGGGGCAGCAGGAGAAAGGCCCTGGGCGTGGGGTAGCTAACTCCTGAAGTCAGCTGAAGGCTTTGTGGGTAGATGGCATGGAATTCTGCTGGTGGAGAGAAAAGCCCCAGCGTTCCCCACACCCCAGTGCTCCCTTGCTTCCCAAGGCTGACTTTCCAATACATAAACGACCGCAGCGCTTCCCTTTGCCCCACTGCTTGCGAGCTCACAGCTTTGGAAACAGAGCTCTCCTAGTTCGTGGGCGTCGGATTTCGATCTTTCTGTATCAGAAGATTCCAAATACCCTACAATGTGATTTTTCCTCCCGAAGATGCATTCTAAAGCGCCCCCACTCCTTTCTTCAGGAACTCAACAGATGTCTGTGAAGCCGATTTTTCTCCCGGGCTCTCATTCCCAAGGCCCCAAGGCCCCCCGGGCTGCAGCTACTACCCGGAGAGTCATTGAGGTCCCCAAATACCCACTTTTGAGAGTCCACTTCTCTCGGCTCCCAGCTCCCTCCTTCGCATACGGTCTCCGGGATCTCAGCGAGGAGGAGAGAGCATAAAACCGGCTCCCGGGCCTCCGGTGCCCGCCGAGGCCCCTGACCGGGATCAGCGCGCGCACGCGACCAAGTGCGCGTCCCGCCTTCCTGGGCCTCAGCCTCCCCTGCGCTCCCTCTCGGACCCGGGTCCTCGGGCCGGACAGTGAGCTGCACATCTAACCCTGCCCGGCCCCGCAACTCCAACGGAGCTTCCTCCCGCCTCTCCTTTCCCACGACTTGCCCCCGGCGGGCGCTCGCGGGAGTCAGGCCGGGGCCGCCTGGGCTCCTGCGCGCTCCGCTGTCCCGGGCGCCCACGTGGGCGAGCTCCGCGCCGGGCGGGCGGGGGCGGCCCAGCGCCCTCCGGGAGGCCGGGGGCGGGCAGGGCGCCCGCGGGAGGAGGCGGCGGGGCGCGGGGGAGGAGGCGGGGAGCACCGGCGGCCAGGGGGCGGCGACAGCGCTTGGAAAGGGCGCTGCGCACGGATTTGCATGAAACACAGACTGGGAGCGGGCGGGAGCGGGAGCGGGAGCGGGAGCGCGGCCCAGACCGGCCCGGGGAGCGAGCTGAGCGAGCGGGGAAGGAGGAGGGCGGCGGGGAGGCGAGGCTGCCCTGCCGGGGCGGGGGAAGCTGCGCCTCAAAGCGGCCGAGGCGAGCAAAGTTTGGCTGGGGGTTGGACTTTCCTTCCTGGAGGCGGCACCCACCCGCCAGCCAGCCCGTGCGGAAACCCAAACTTTCTGCTGCCACTCCGAGGCCCGCGGCCGCCGCCTCCGCCCCGCGCTCGGGGCCTCCGGACCCGGCGCCGCCGCCGCCCGCCGCCCGCCTCCCCGCCGCCCGGGCCGCCCTTCGCTCCGCCGCGGGAGCCCCGCCGGCTGCAGCGCCGCGGCCCGGCCCGGAGCGCCGGCCAGTCCGCCCAGAGTTGAGGCGGAGAAGTTGGGGCGGCCCCGGCCGGCTCCCCGCTGCGCCCCCGGCGCCCCGCCGCGCTCAGCCCCGCCGGGGGCGCCCTCCCCCCAGCCATGTCGTCCATCCTGCCCTTCACCCCGCCGATCGTGAAGCGCCTGCTGGGCTGGAAGAAGGGCGAGCAGAACGGGCAGGAGGAGAAGTGGTGCGAGAAGGCGGTCAAGAGTTTGGTCAAGAAGCTCAAGAAGACGGGGCAGCTGGACGAGCTGGAGAAGGCCATCACCACGCAGAACGTCAACACCAAGTGCATCACCATCCCCAGGTGCGGGCCCCGCGGCCCGGGGCGCGCCGGCCGGCCCGGCCCCCTGGCGCGGCGGGGCGGCGGGTGGAGTGGGATCGATCGGGAGCGATAGTGTGTGTGTGTGTGTGTGTGTGTGTGTGTGTGTGTGTGTGTGTGTGGAGGTGGGAGCGCGGGCAGAGAGGGGACCCCAAACAAAACCTCTCTGGATTTGCAAAAGACTCAAGCCTGGGCCTTGCACGCGGCGGCGGCACTCTCACTTTCAGACCTCACGCTCACTCTTCGCCTCCCGGAAAGGGGGTGCTGCTGGGAGCGGGCCGCCCCGCGCCGGGAGCTGCGGGCTCCGAGTGGAGGCCGCTTTGTTCGGCTCCGCGGCCGGAGCCCCTCCCCCGCCGCCGCCCCCGCGGCCGGGCCCGTGGAGGTGGCGGTGGCGCGGCTCGCTTTCTTTTCTTCAGCGCTGCCCCCCTCCGCTGCCCCCCCCCCCCCAATCTTTCCTCCTCAACAGGAATGCAGTCCGTACAGCTGGAGCCCGGTGACTGACAGATTCCTTCTCCCTTCTCGTTTTTTTTTTTTTTGCCTTCGGGATTAGCATTTTTATCGAGTATTTTTAGACTCGGTTATGCCAGTTCCCGCCCCCCCTCCGCACACACTCACTTGGGGTGCAGGGCAGCGCTCCGACTTGCCAGTGAGAGAAGTGGCCCGCCAGTGAGAGAAGTGGCCCGGAGTAGAGTTCCCCCACGGCCACCTCCCTCCGTCGTCGTCCCCGCACCCCCCCTTCCTCCCCGTGTCTTACTCTCCTTTCAGCCTGATATTTCAGGTTGATGCAGAACAGGGGGTGCTCAGAGCCACCAGATAACAACACACACACACACACACACACACACACACACACACACACACACACACACACGCAGCGGCCCGCGCATTCCTGCGGAGCCCTCCTTCCCCAAGCGCTCTGCCATCTGCCCGGCTCTCCTTCCTAATGCGGGCTGCGCTGCGAGGCCAGGGGAGCTCACAGATGGCTGATAGAAGGGGTCACTGACTTCTCTCCTCCACAGGACCTAGTCTTAGCTGAGCTGGGCCTCCCTGGAACTTGGGGTGGAGGGGGGAGCACCTTGGCCCCTTGTCTCTCCCTCTCAGCCTCTCTAAAGCCTGACTGTACCAACGGAGTGTGCGTGCAGGTATTCTTGGGGTCCCTGGCTGCAGAGGGTCGCCAGGGCTTGAGCCCCACAGAGATGGTCATCCTTGCTCTTGGGCTAAGGAGTGGACTCCGTCCTCAGCCACCTGCTTGGAGCAGCTGTAGGAGAGCTGCCAGCCGTGTCAGGCAGGCACAAAGCAACATCTGTCCCGGCAACCCAGGGCAGGCCTCCTCTGGAAATAAATGCCACGTATGGTGGGAGCACGGACTTAAAAAATAATAATTTTTTTTTTTTTAAACTGGGTGGATCCAGTCAATAAAGGGGGAGGGAAGGCGGTGTGCTGTCTGGGAAGTGTGCGCTGTGTGTGTGTGATCTGGAGCCAGAACTGACTTCAGAGGAGGTGGTGTGATGTGATGATGGTCAGCGAGCCCTGAGTTCTGGTCCCAGCTCTGGCTCTTCATTCTTCTTTATTCCTTTGGTGGGGGTGGGGCAGGTGGGAGGATGGATGCTGTCCCACTGCTCCCGCCAGGGGAGGGGGTTTCTGGAAACGTGCCCTGTTAGCTGTCCAGGTGCACTGAGGACAAGGACTTTAGGCCTTGAAACAGAAAAGAAAAACGCTATCAGTTATAAAACGAGCAGCTGTGCAAAGTGTTTTACAGTTCTCGGAGCACTTTCACATGGCTTTATGAAATGCAGAAAAGAAAGTAACTCGTGGAAACCAGATAAGGCAGTTAGTTGGGCTTAAGACTTATCTCATGTTTAACGTTGAGAAAACGTCCCCGGGGGGGAGAGGTGGAAAGGCTGGTTAGAGTGGCCGTGGGACTCTGACCCACTGTGCTCTCTCTCTCTCTCTTTTTCCCCTCCTGCTGCTGTTTACTTTGAAGATTCTGAATACGTTTTTGTTGTTGTTGTTGTTGAATGTTCAGATACTGCTGGGGGGGGGGGCATGGAGGGCGGTGTGGATCTCTGTTGGGAAAGGCTAATGTTCTGTCTGTGGGCTGGTGACAGCTCGGAGGAGAGGCCTCGCTCTCCCCTGCCTTCGTAGATGTTTGTCCTCTGGGGGAACCTAGTTCTGGCCCTCTCTTTCCTCTTCCAGAGTTCTCTGCGGCCTGAGGTCTAGGAAGTTCTGAATGTTTCTGAGAGTTCAAGTTAAGTTGCTCCCGGGTCTGTCACCACTTTCCTAGGCCGGGGGCATCTTCTACCTGCCTGGCAAGGACCTACTAATAAGGCAGGCTTTTTATTTTTATTTTTATTGTTATTCATCTTTTCTCAGGGAAACCGAGTTGCTTGGGTGGATCCAGACAGGATGGATTTCCATCCCTGGGTTCTGTGCCCACGCCTCTGGGTCACCTTGTCTCCCTTGGCGATCGCTGCTGCTGTTTTGGCCGTGGGCAGACAACTAAAGGCCACGTCTTGGGGAGGTGTTAGCTGGCCTCCCGCTGGTGATATCGAGGTGTCTGCTAGGCCCCACAGATGGTTGTGTTGCTTGTCACGTTGCCTGCTCTCTCCGCACTGCCTTTTATAAGTCACCCTCCTGTGTGTGTGAGAGGTGGGGCACTGGGCGCTAACAAGTGCTCTGGTGAGAGCTGGACCTTAGGGTTTAAGAAGCCCTCAGCCCGAGGAGGTTTTTGAGGAGCGTGTTTTTGGCTAATATGTAACTATGAGCGGCAACAGTAACATTTGGCAATTATAGCTGTATGCGAGGGCCTTCCAGACCACAGGCTTGCTTCTTCCTTAGCACCAGCTCTAACCTGCTGCCTCAGTGATCAGAAGAGCTGGAGTGATACTGGCTCATTGATATCAAGAATGTAAGAGAGACCAGCGCCAAGGAAGTGGCGAGGGCTTGATTGAGGTACGCTGACGCGGGCTCTCAGGACGCGCTGAGGTCTGGCAGGACGGGCAGAACACAGACAACTGTGTAACAGCATCTCCCCTCCCTCCGCACCTGCACGAGAACCCGAGGAAAGCTTCAGGTACCCACCCACCTGGCCCGTCTGTGAGAATGGAGTCCTCTCATTGGGGCAGGGGAGGTGTGTGCACGTTCCGTCAGCAATCAGGAAGGAGCCAGGCACACTCAGAATGCCTGTTCTGATGTGTTCCAACAACGTGTGCCTCCCCTCACAGGCTCCATGCTTTGGCACGGGATTTAGGAGCTGGACCAAGCTTATGGTTTGGTTTGTTTGGAAGGGAATTTGGGCTTTCTTGTATCAAAGCATCAAGTCCAGAGGAACACGGGGGCGCTTTCTGATACACACCTGCTTCTTTGTGCTTCTCTCCCAGCTCAGCCTCCTCCGGTCACCTACCAGGACCTGACCAGGCTCCTCTCACTCTAGGGTAGGGGTGTCGAACTCAATCAGAGAAGGGGCCAAAATCTAAAATCCAGACTAAATCGCTGGCCGAATGGTTTACTGAACAGTCATAAACTGTCATTGTGATGGAAACGCAGCGGAGTGCAGTGATGACAGCGCGGTGCGGGCCGCATTGCAAGGCCTGGCGGGACGGATTTGGTCCGCGGGCCTTGTGTTTGACACATGTGCTCTAGGGAGAGATCCTCGTCGTTAAAACTCCTCTCTCCGACTTCTGGAGACAGGCCTGTTGTCATGGCTACTCGTTCACCTCCATGAGGAGAGTTCCACACAAGGGCCAGGAAGGGAAGGGGCCCACAGGACAAGGAGTCGCTGACTCTGGGGCTGGCTCAGAGCCCTGGTGGAACCCAGGGTCAGCTGGGTGCTCCCTGGACATTTTGGGGCCCTGGACCTCATGTTGCATCCAGGAGGTGAATGTTGGGGCCGATGCAGACAGCCCCTTGCTCACAGTTCCTAATTAAACGTGAGAGTTGGCGTTTGTTGATTCATTGTTATCTGTTGGCCCGCTCATGTCTGAGTCAGAGTTCCAGGCAGTGGGGGAGGATGCAGAGATACGTTTGAGATGGCCCTGCCTGTGAGGAGCGGACACTTCAGTGAGGGAACCAGCAAGAGGGCATTAGTGGAGCGCTAACTGCTATTTCTTTCTTAGTCCCAGCTATACAAAGAAATGAGTGTGGAGTGGGAATTCTTTTTTTGGGGGGGTCGGGGGGGAGGGAGACCTATGATGAGTCTTTTAAATCCTGTAGCAGTCACTCTGTTAGAAAACAAAATAAGGACAGCCATCTCTTTTCTTTGGAAAGGCGGCCCAGAATTCAGGCCCTGGGTCTTGCCATTTTGATACCTGGGTGGACCTAAGAGCCCACTGGATGTCTCAGAGCCTTCGTGTCCACACCTGTAAAATCGAGATGAGATAACGCTCGCGAAGTGTTTTGTAAACCAGAGAGTTTGACGGACGTAAGTGCTATCTATGCTTAGCCTCTTGTGTGTGTCACTCATTCATGACTAAATTATTTAACCATTTATTAAATACCTACTATGATGAGCAAGGTCGGGCACCTGTTCTCAAGAAGCTCCTTGTCTAGAGCGGGAGGCAGACTTGTCCAAAGGTACAGGGCATGAGCCGCAGCTAAGGGGTGCACAAGGTGCAGAGACATGGGGGCCGCCATTCTCTGTGAGGATGGGGGAGAGGAGGCAGGGGTCGGTGTGCAGTGAATGCCAAAGGAGTTCGGAAGTTACTCTCTGAAGGAAGTTTCTGGACTGCTGTGATCATGAGTATGCTGCGTGGCGATAGTTGCCCACAAGAAGGAGGCAGCGAATGACATCTTTGCCTTCTACCTGGTGCTAAAGTGAGCTCTGCTATGAATATGTTCCCACGTGGCTTGCACCAAAGGTCTAGTGACCCCTGAGCAGTCTTTTACTCCATTGTTAAGCGTTCTCTCCTTGAAGTAAAAAGTAACTTAGTATTGCAAACCTGAAATTCAGGTTTCCGAGGGGGGAACAGTGATTTTAGATATATTAG